GGAGCTCCACGAGCAAACTCCCGCCCCTGCCAACCTGGGCTGTCCCCTGGGGGAATCCAGTCTGACCATGGCTCAACTTCTGCTGACATGGACCTCATCCCAGGCTGGCCCAGAGCAGGCTGGAGAAGGGAGGTTCCCCACCTACAGACCATGTCTCTCTCTCGCCAGCCCTTCCCCTGCATGTGATAGGCTGACCGTGACGACCCAGAAGTGATCCATCCAGCAAATACAGACTGAGAACCTGCCATGTGCCAGGTACGGTGTTAGGCTGCAAGGAGCCAGAGATGAAGCATGCCTCTGCTCTTAAAGACATTCATTCACACATGCATGCATTCACTTATTCAACAGCCAGCACCTACTGTCATCAAAGTCCTAAGAGAAACACAAAAGGACAAAAGCCATGAAGGTGAACCTCTAGAAAATCAAAGCCAGAAGAGAGCAAATTGGACACCAGCCCAACCATCCCATTTTACAGATGTGGAAACTGAGGCTCAGAGAGGTTAACGATTTGCCCGTTTGTTAGTCTGGGGCTATAACCTTGGTCCTCCAACTCCTTCTCCTGCATGTGCTGCCACCACCCCCTCTCCAGTGTCCCTCTGTGGCTCCAGGCCCCCTGCACCCCTTAACTCTGAGGGTCCTTGTCATTCAGGTACCACAGCCCCTCTCAACCTGGGCCTCCAGCAGGGGCTAGGCCCTCCCACCCACAGCACTGTGGAGGCAGAAGTGCATTCTGGGATCAAGGCACCAGATTCCCTATCTACAGGGACAGGTGTGGAGAACTATTCAGTTCCAGCCTGGACTGAGCCAGCCATGAAATACAGGCCTGGATTCAAATCCCAACTGCATGACCTACTTACTGATGACCTTGACCAAGTTTCCTAACCTCTCAAGCCTCCCTTTCTCTTTGGTAAAATGCAGAGAGTAGTGGAAGCTACTTCACAAGGTGGCTGTGAAACCTCAGGGAAACTGTGATGAAAACTGAGCACGTGGTAAGTGCTCAATAACAGCAGGGCCAGAGCCCCCGTCTTCAGAGCCGCATGGTTCAGGGACACTTTCAGGAGTTGTATGGCTGACTGTCTTCGTGCAAGGACACCAGGTAGCTGGGGAAGGAGCCGAGGCAATCAGGAGCATGGGCTACAGCCCAGGGGTGTCTGGTGCTTAGGAGAAAAGCCAATAGGAGGCACTAGCAGAGAGAAAGATATCTCACCCAGCAGAGGCAGAATGAAGGCAGCGTCTCCTAAGGCTAGCAGAGCCCTAGCACGTGCAGTTGGCTGCCTAGTAACCTATCAGTAAGCAAAGCCACACCCTGGGCACCGGGGCAGAATTTCACCTTAGGTATTAGTGGGGGTAAGCAGGGGACGAGCAGGTACTGATCTTCCTTTTAGTGCCCAGGGTCGTGGGGGTGGCCAGATAAAACCTATGGTGTCTGCCCAGCTCGAGATTCATCTTTCTTCTCTGAGAACTAACCCCTGCCACAGAGAGAGGAGGCTGCAGCCGCCATGTTTCATCCATAAAACCTCACCTCTCCAGCTAAACTTATTGGACCAAACTGGACCAATCAGATTCCCTCTTTTTTTTTTAACAGTTTTATTGAGATGTAGTTTTATACTACACAATTCACCATTTTTAAGTATACAATTCAATGGTTTTTTGTATATTCACAAAGCTGTGCAACGATTACCACTCAAGTTCCAGAACATTTTCATCACCCCCCAAAAAGAAGTCTGTATCTTTGCAATCACTCCCCTCATTCTCCCAACAACCTCTCCAGCCCTAGAAAACCACCAATCTATTTTCTGTCTCTCTGGACTTGCTTATTCTAGACATTTCATATAAATAGAATCATACAATATGTGGTTTTCAATAACTAACCTTCACTTACAATGTATCCAGGGTTTATCTATGTTGCAGCATGAATCAGTACTTCATTCCTTCTTATGGCTAAATAATATACCATCGTATGGTTATGCCACATTTTGTTCATCCATTCATCTGTGGATGGACATTTGGATTATTTTCACTTTGGGCTATTATTAACACTGCTATGAACATTCATGTACAAGTTTCTGTATGGACATATGTCTTCATTTCTCTTGGATACATACTGAAGAATGGAACTGCTGGTCATACGGTAACTCTATGTTTAACATTTTGAGGTTAAATTGTTTTCCAAAGTAGCCACACCATTTCACATTCCCACCAGCATCCTCACCAACACTTGTTATTATCTGTCCTTTTGATTATAGTCATTCCAGTGGGTGTGAAGTAGTATCTCACTGTGGCTTTGATGTGCATTTCCCCGATGACTAATGATGTTGAACATCTTTTCCTGTGCTTATTGGCCATTTGTATATCTTCTTTGGAAAAATGTCTACTCAGATACTTTGCCCATTTTTAAATTGCGCTTTTGTCTTTGTACTACTAAGTTGTTAGAGTTCTTTGTATATTTTAGATAGGAGTCCCTTATCAGATATATGATTTGAAAATATTTTCTCCCATTCTGTGGGTTGTCCTTTTACTTTCCTGATGGTGTCCTTTGTAACACAAAAGTTTTTAATTTTGATGAAGTTCAATTAAACAATTTGTTGTTGTTGCTGTTGCTTGTGCTTTTGGTATCATACCCAAGACATCATTGCCTTATCCAAAGTCACAAAGATTTTCATCTATGTTTTCTTCTAAGAGTTTTATAGTTTTGGCTCTTACATTTAGGTCTTTGATCCATTATGAGTTAATTTTTGTATATGGTGTGAGAGAGAGATTCAATTTCATTCTTTTGCATGTGGATATCAGTTGCCCAGCACCATTTGTTGAAAGACTATTTTTCTCCATTGAATTGTCATGACACACTTGTTGAAAATCAATTGACCACAAATATGAGGGTTTATTTCTGGACTTTGAATTCTATTCCATTGATCTATACATCTATCCTTATGGCCAGTACCAAACTCTCTTTTGATTACTGTCACTTTGTAGTAAATTTGACATCAGGATTATAGTCCTCCAATTTTGTTCTTCTTTTTCAAGATTATCCTTGAATTTCCATATGGAAATTAGGATCAGTTCATCAATTTCTGCAAGGAAGTCAGCTGGGATTTTAACAGGGATGGGTTTTTAGTTCCTATCCAACCTCTCCACATCTATAGCTCTGCCTCCCCACCTTGGGTTCCCTGAGGCACCCTAGGATTTTTTCCATAAATTCCATCCTTGGCTTAACCAGATTACACTGGGTTTTTGTTTCTTACAATCAGAAGAATTTTAATCAAGTATAAGTAGGAACACCGTCCTACACTCTGTCCCAGACAACACTCTCCATGCCACCTCCCCAAGGCCTAGACCCTCAGACTGCCCTCCAGGGACCCAGAAACCCCCTAGGGTCCCAATCGCAAACTGGTCCATGCCCCCAGCCGTTCACTTCACCCCATAGCTAGTTTCTTTCCAGTACGTGTATCTTCTTTACCAGTTAAAACAAACAGGCCCTCAGTAAACACTTGTGAAATTGAACTAGATGTCTCAAGACAGCACCAAAAAACCCCCACCCTCCCACCAGTCTACACCCTTTAGTAACCCAGCTTCATGCCTGGCATCTCATTCAATACGCAGATAGGAAGCTCTAGAAAAGACAGACATTGTTGTGCCCATTGGACAAAGGAGACAGAAAATGAAGTCCAGGGAAGTTATGTGTCTTACCTGAGAGTGACTTGTCCTGAACCCTGGGCTGCACTGATGCACACCCATAGCAACCAGCACAGGCACAGGTGGGCCCCTTGTCCAGCCCCATCTTTAAGAGCTGCTTTAGGAGCTACCTCCTACCAGCAGTCTTCCATGACTGTTCCCACTGCATGCCTGGTGTCAACTCTACAGAGAGACTAAAAGCTCTCAGAAGGTGGGGACGGTTTGCCACGCATCCCTGCCCTGGTACCTGCCTGCCCTCACCCTTCCGAGCAAAACAAACCAGATTGGGAAGCCTCCTTAACTTGACCGCCTTATATGCCAACTCTTGAGACCTGCTGTGCTTTGCCCAGGGACCTGTATCCAGGGGATGCAGAGTCAGTACTGGTGACCTAATGGCATAGCAGAGGTGCTCTTCCACTGAGATGGGGGAGTTACAAGCAGGAGGGGCTGCCTCTGAAGGCAATTTAAAAATTAAATATTTTAAAAATAAAATAAAATAAATATTACCCAGTAGAGGAATTTTTCATGCACAAACTAATTCTTAGGTAGCAGGATAATATTTTGAGCTAGTGACCAATGCTGGTTTTCCCTTCTTTTCAATTCATTCAATTGGAGAACGTGGCTGGTCAGTACTCCTTGCCCGAGGGAGGGATGCAAACGGGAGTTGATGTGTTAAGTCTCAAGGGAGAAAGAGGATCCAGATGCCAATGAAATGGTTCAGCCAGAAACATGGGGGGAAAAGGAACCACGGTTGATGAGAGAGGAGCAGTCAGAGGTTCTAGGACGGAGGGGTGCCTGCTCAGTGCTCCACACACAGATGAGATGACACGCTAAATCTGATGCTGGAATTCACTCAGAGCCTCAGGACCAGGCTGATCAGGATGAGAGATGTCTGGTAACAGATGACTCAATGACCACACACACACACACACACACTGAGGGTTTTTGTCCAGTCCTAGAACTATGCGGCACAATTTTTCAAGAACGTGGGAATGTCAGAAAGACAACCTGATGGGACTGGGGCTCCACACAAAAATTAAAGCGATGGAAAATACAATTACCTTTCTTACAGCCCTGAGCTGTGGCCTGAAATTCACATTGCCCTACACATTTCCACCAGGCTGGGGCCTGCTGCTTCCTCCCCAGCGTCTGCCTTTCCCCAGATGCTGCAGGAATCAAGAGCCTCCTCCAACCCCTGAAGCCCCTGGACTGAGAATCTGACTAATGCAACAGCCCTGCTCACACAACCTGGAGGGAAATGAGGGCCCCCACAGAGCTCAGGTCTGCCATTACCTCTGACCTTTACGTAACAGGAAGTGGCTACTTACTTGACCTTCAGGCTCGCCAGCATGGTCTTGTCGATCCTGCGAAGAGAAAAGCAAGGGTTTCTGTCAGGGCCAGGGCTGAGGGCTCCCACCTAGCACCTGCGGGGGACAGGTCCCGGGGCCAGCCCTGACCACCAGCCCCACAGGCCCTGCAGGGGACAGCACTGCTTCAGGAGGAAGGACGTTCTCCCCCAGCCCAGGAAGGGAGGACCGAGAGCTCTGGGACAGCTGGAGCCACAGATAACCTGGTAAGGCCGGTCCTGTTATTCTCCCCATTTCAGAGATGAGGAAACGGGCTCAGGAGGGTAAAATCACTGGCCCAGTACCAATCCCGGTATCTGACTCCAGACCCAGGGGTCTTAAGTACTCTCCATGTCGTCTCTCCCTTGGTCACCCACACACAGCAACAGGACTCTGCAACCCAGCTGCATGGGTCACTGGTGGCTGGACAACCAACATATGGATATTTCCTGAGCTTCTGCTTTAGAAAGATGCCAGCACCTCCAGTCCCGGGGACCCTCTGTTCTGGAAGCTGCTGGTCCTGCCAAGGATGCAGAAGCCCCTCCTGGGACAGAACCTGACAGCAGGCTCCAGGGTGCATGGGAGGTGGGAGCTGTTGGGCACAGGAGCTCAGAGCGAGAAGATCACGTTTGCGGCAGACTGTCCCGGCAGCCAGCTCCTCCGCCCCAGCCTGCGCCCACCCTCGCTGGAAGCCAAGGCAGTGTTGCTAGGCTTCTATTTTTACGCTCTGCATATGCCAGCCCTTATGGTTGGTAGAAGAGGCCCTTTTCTCTCTCTAGAGACAGAAATGTAGGTGAGATTCCCGCTATCTGTGTCTCCTCTTGCTTAGGTGTCACAAACGCCAGAATCACCATCACCATCAATGTCACCATCGCCATCCATGCCACCAAAATCACCACCACCTCCAGGATGCTCAAAATCCTGGCAAGTTCTTATAGCCACCTCCGTCCAGCAGCTCAGCTCTGCCACTCACTTCCCATGCTCATGACTACTGGGGCCAGCAGGGCGAGGGGAGCAGTGTCAGGGGCCACACAGTGAGGACGCAGAGCTGCCCCAGCAATCCCAAGTCAGCACCAAGCCCTTGAGCTGGGGGTGTAAGATCCTTTCACTCTGAGTAAACTCCCAGCATCTTCTGATCTCAGTGCCCAACAACAAAATAAGACACACCCGAGGCTTGCGGCCCAGATCCCTCCCTTCCCAGCTCCTTCCCCACATGCTCCTGGGCCCCTTCCTTGGGGCTTCCATGAGATTCCCAAGGGTCTCACAGGCGCCTAACACCCTCTGGAATGCAGACCCTCCTCCACTCCCATTCAACCCACCGAATGGGAGGAAGCCGGACTCAGGAGTCAGACCCCTGCCCTCTGCAGTAATATCTGTGACAAGAGCAATCCAACTGGAACCCCTCACAACAAGCCCTTATATTTTATATTTTCTCCAGGAATCTTGTTTAACTCTTACAACATCCCTGTGTTGTGGGTAAGGCAGAAATTCCCCACTTACACATGGGGAAACTGAGACCCAGAGAGAGGAAGTGTCCCATCTGGGTTCCTCAAAGAGCAGAGGTGTAGCAGCACCAGAAGCCTGGCTCCGGGTGTGACACCCTCTCGCCCACCACATCACCCCCTGACACTCTGGGTC